ATCTGCCAGTTGAGCTCAGTGGCACGACACTTGACTGCTTTGAAAAGGGGCTACTATTTGATGCTCAGAGATTTTTTTAAAGTCATATGTAACTGAACATGTTCAAGAATTGTCAAAATAAGCCGGGTGATGGTGGCGCACGCCTTTAATCCCAGCACTCGGGAGACAGAGGCAGGCAGATCTCTGTGAGTTCGAGACCAGCCTGGTCTACAGAGCTAGTTCCAGGACAGGCTCCAAAGCCACAGAGAAACCCTGTCTAGAAAAACCAAAAAAAAAAAAAAAAAAAAAAGAATTGTCAAAATAGTCCTGAAAAGAACAGGTTAGGAGTTAGGAGAGGGAGTGATTTCAACACGTACCTATGATAACCAAATAGTGTGTTGGATTAAAGGACATCAAATATATCAAAGGAATAGAATCACAGGTGCTACAAGAAGTGTCTACACATTAGTGACCAGATCACTTTTGGAGAGGACCAGTGGCAATACAGTGGAGACTGACCAGCTTGTCAGTATGTGAATAAACCTACATCTGTACAAAAAGTGAAAGACGATCTGTATCTCACACCACACACAAAGTGATGTAGATCCACATGTAAAACCACAAAACTTAGAAAAACTGCATGTGGCAGTGCATTCTTTTAATCCCAGAACTTGAGAGGCAAAAGCAGACAGATGTCTGTGAGTGTAAGGGCAGTCTGGTCTGCATACAGAGTTCTAGGCCAGCCAGGCTGCAAAGGAATACACTGTCTAAAAAAACTAACAAACTTCTAGAAGAAAGCACAGATGTAAATCTTTGGATTCTGATAATAGATGGAATCTTTATTCTGACATAAAACACCAAACCTCATGAGTGAAGAAACATGCACAAATGTTTTCAGGCTGGACCTGACAAGACTTGTTACCTGGTCAATGGTGGCATGGATGTGTGGGTGTAACCAGCCACATTCTAATTGGGCTGAGCCCCACTCTATAAGATGGAACCCTTGTCCAGCAGCATTATCCATGAACCCAAGGGGAAAATTGACTACTATTTTTTGCTAAACAAACTCGGTATCAAACTGACCAGTAATGGCTATGCTATAGCCATACATGAGTGCATCTCCCCACTATCACCAAAGAAGCTTCCTTGTGCAGTAAATGAAAGTTAACGTTGAACCTCACAACTGTTGTGGGATATTTGTACAATGTCTGCAGATATTTTGCTGTGATTGCTGTAATAAAAAGCTGAATGGCCAATAGCCAGGGAAGGAGTATAGGTGGGACTTCCTGGCAGAGAGAGAATGCTGGGAAGAAGAATGTCAGCATTGCCAGTCAGAGACAGAAAGAAAACAAGAGGTGCAAGATGGAAAAGAGGTAGTACCATGTGGCAGAACATAGATTAATATAAATGTGTTAATCTGAGTTATAAGAGCTTGTTGGGGACAAGCCTAAGCTAAAGATCAGACTTTCATAATTATAAGTCTCCAGGTCTTTATTTGCCGGCCCATTGTGCAAAGATAGTCAGACAAGAAAATTTACTACAAATGTAACACATGGTCCAGCATGTAAATCCACATCAGGGTCTCAAAAAACTGGGGGAAAAAAAGTTTCAAGTAGACTCAGTGCTCGCAGCATACAGAGGCATGGCTCTTTTAAGATGCCCTGCTACTGAGCATTTTGGATCCGGCTTTTGAGTAGCAGACAGCACACTACTGGGTGGCAGAATAACTAAGTAGAAATGCCTACTACAGCATGCACTCAGAAGCTTCCCAGAGCTAGGCTAGACTGGCACCAGGCCTGGGCTGGCAGGCATGAGGTTGCAGTCCCACCAACCTGAAGTGGGTAGAGTCAGTCGCTAGACTCTGTGCTAAGTGAAACTGTCCGCAGAGGGCCCAGCCACCAATTAACAACTTAAGGTTTCTGTCCTGCAGTCAGAGAACACTGAAAGTGTGCAGCTGCAGACATGCAGCTCCGACAGGCTAAAGCCCCTGAACAGTTACAGTGTGCAGCTGCAGACATGCAGCTCTGACAGGCTAAAGCCCCTGAACAGTTACAGTGTGCAGCTGCAGACATGCAGCTCCGACAGGCTAAAGCCCCTGAACAGTTACAGTGTGCAGCTGCAGACATGTAACTCCGACAGGCTAAAACCCCTGAACAGTTACAGTGTGCTAAAAACTGTGCTTAGATGTTGGAGGAAGAAAAGAGAATGAGTATAACCTGTCATTAAAAAATAAATGAATGAGGGGCTGGAGAGATGGCTCAGAGGTTAAGAGCTTCGCCTGCTTTATCAAAGGTCCTGAGTTCAATTCCCAGCAACCACATGGTGGCGTACAGCCATCTGTAATGGGGTCTGGTGCCCTCTACTGGCCTGCAGGCGTACACACAGACAGAATATTGTATACATAATAAATTTAAAAAGAAGAATCCATGTTTAAAAAAATAAAAAATAAATAAATAAATGGTTAGTAATAATAATGTCTTAAAGAAAGAGTAAAGTAATATAAAAGGAAAAATACACATAAAGTTGGAAAATACACAGGGTATCTGGATCCTGTAGGGTGCTTTATTAACTTTGGATTTTTTTAAAGCTAATGAACAAAAAAGAAAATCTGCTGAGAGACATTCACTTATGGAAACTGCTAAATTAAACCAACCTAAATATTTTAAAAATGTCTTAACTTCAGAATGAAAGTGAAAAAGTATGTTGTGCTGGGGGACAGGTTTTGTTTTTGTTTCCACAGTAAACCAAACTACAGATTCCTTCAAAGTTAATAAAGTTCGGGTTTGTTTAGGGAAGACCTCCTGGAAATCTTGGCTATGGATATGAAGAAACAACAGTACAGGTGACATACATGCTGACCCTCCACATGGGATCAGCTCTGGGGTGAGATGAGACATGATAAACCCTGTAGGCTCCAGAGTCCTCAGGAGTAATTAGTACACACCGTACGTTCATATGCATGGATAAAGCTTTGCTTATACAGTCTGAAAAATTTTATAAAGTTAACAGATGCCTTTTACCTGTTCAAACATAAAATAAGAATCTTCTTTAGCTGTCTTATGCATACTACACATTCTATACTGTGCTAATACAGATATATATGTTGCTTTTAATAGTTTGTATGTTTCCAGAAAAAAGGACCAGACAGCCATGAAAAAGTAGCCCAGGTGAACAAGGCTTTCAGCATGACTCTCTTGAAGTTACCTCAAAATTCTGTATCCAGAACAACTTTAAAGTTGCCAACTGAGATGGTCAAGCCTCACAGACTACTCAAGCCAAGACTTAACTCTACACTTTTCTACCACACAGAGACTAAAAAACCAAACAAAACTACAGTTATCTCTTCCCCAGAACATGACCCTTGTTCTAATTCTCTCAGGATCCCCTAGAAATGCTGCTGATGCAGACAACAGAAAGCAGTCTAGAGGACACAGTGCCCATGTTCCCAAGAGGTGGGGTGAATGGTATTTGATCATTCAGTGCTTGTTTATCATCATTTACGGTTACAAGTTGTTGGTCATGGTCAAGGGAAAAGGTGAGCAAACGAGATTAGATTCAGGTATCTCTTAAAAAAAAGAGAGATAAAGCAGTATAAAAATGATGGGATAGAAAGGTATATTGTTGGGTTTATTTTTAAATTAGAAAGCAACTACTAGCTTCAAATATTTTACATTGGCATGGATTTTTGTATTTTGATACAAATTTAAGGTTATTTTTGTTATACTGTATGTATGATTCTATTCTTATTTTTTGGTTTTTGGTTTTTTTATCTTTTTTATTGATTTTAATTGAGCTCTACACTTTTCTCTGCTCCCCTCCCTGCCTCTCCCCTCCCCTTCAACCTGCCCCCAAGATCCTCATGCTCCCAATTTATTCAGGAGATCTTGTCTTTTCTACTTCCCATGTAGATTAGATCTATGCATGTCTCTCTTAGGGTCCTCATTGTAGTCTAATGACCCTACCTAAGACCCTAAGCAATAGAGGAGAGGGGGCTGATCTTGACTTGCCCTGTAATCAAACTGATGATTATCTTAAATATCACCATACAACCTTATTCAACAACAGATGGAAACAGAGACAGAAACCAACATCAGAGCACTGGAATTAGCTCCCAAGGTCCAGTTGAAGAGTAGAAGGAATATGAGCAAGGAGGTCAAGACCGTGATGGGTTCATCCACTGAAACAGTTAGTTGAGCTGGTGGGAGCTCACCAACTCCAGCTGCACTGGAAAGGAACAAGCATAGGACTAAACTAGTCCCTCTGAATGTGGTTGACAGTTGTATGGATGGGGCAGACTGAGGGCCCACTGGCTTTTTGGGATCCTACTCTCTTTGGATGTATACCTTGCTCAGTCTAGATATGGTAGGGAGGGCCTTGGACCTTCCGCAAAGCAATGTGCCTTGACCTCTCATAGGATTGGATGGCGGTGGGGTGGGAGGGTGTGTGGAGGAAATGGGAGGAAGGGAGGGAATGGGAATTTGAATTGGTATTTAAAAAAAAAATCTAAAAAAAAAAACAGGGAAGCTCTGCTGTAGACAGATTCCCCCACATGAATCACAATGTGCTTTTATCATTTTAAGTTATTAAATGAAAATATAGAACTTTAAATTTCACAGAGTTCAGGAACATCAGGGTCTGTAGCTTGAGAGTCTAGCACAGATAAGTTCTAAAAGGAGGAGGTGATAGAAAAATGTCTGAAAACTTTCTTTGTTGAGACCATGGGGATCAATGGCAGGGTCTCACACATGCTAGGCAAGGGCTGGACTACTGGGCCTCTTCCTGAAAGTTAGTAGATAGCCCTGTGCCAGGCTGTTGCTGAGTAACAGCAAGGGTGCTGCCAAGGGTCTTTCAGAGCAAAGGCTCCTAGGCTCCTTCCCTTTCCTGCTGTTACACAGGCTCTTTGCTCTCTCTCCTTTGCAGGAAGAAGCATGACTGTGGCCTATCTTGATCCTGAATCTCTAGGAAGAAGAAACACAGGAAGTCCACATTGAATGTTAGACTGACACATGGAAGGGTGGCGGTTAATGTTCACTGGAGTCTTGAGTGCATTTAAGAAACTCCAGGAGTGCCCTGCCCCATGATGTACAGTCCCGTTCCATGATGTTGGAGATGAAGCTGGGCCTCGAGTCTGCGCCTGCATATTCCTAAGGCTTCTCAGAGTCCTCTGGACCGTGACAGGAGACAAACCATGCAGGAAACAGTCATAAATCAGGAAATCTATGAGGAAGTCTGCATGATTGGGAAATTGCATTAGAATTTTACTCACAAAAATGCCTTCTCTTACAGATCTCATCAGTGATTACAAGTTGTTGGTTAAGGAAAGAAGAGGATCTGCACAGCTAGCTACCTACTGAAGGTTAACTTGGTGCTTGTAATTAATTAGATACAATTTGGCAAAGTTGCTGTATTAGGGTTTAACACCGAACATTGTCAGTGCTGAGCATGCACTTTTCTCCCTGGCTATTTTTGGTCTGGTAAATGTATATCGATGTCTAGGTTTGTGCTTTATCATATATGTGGTCCATTTCCTGGTAGGTTGTACACTGACTGCCCCAAGACCATATAGACCACAAGTGGTATGGAATGGGATACAGAACTTCTATAAATAAATGCCTGACAACTGAATTAAAGGAAAAAAAATAAAAAAAGAAACTCCAGGAGATGGGTATGCACAACCGAGTGTGTATCGTGTGGTGGCGGCATGTAAGGAGGTTCACTGATGAGGGCACACCCACGCTGGATGTGCACAGCCGTGTCCTTCAGGCTGGGTCTGGACAGAATCAAAGAAGAAAGCCAGCCAAGTACCCAATTCTCTTCTGCTTCCTGACCGAGTGTGGTGTAAACTACTCAGCTGCACCTGCCCTCCTTGTCATGATGGACTGAGGCCTGTGAAGCTGAGAGACAACTTGGTTTTCCTTACTGTGCTGCCGGACAGTACTCAGTCACAGCAATGATGGTGCCAGCTACAACAATACTGAAGATTTGGAGAGAAATTGAGCCTTTCAGTCTGTGAAGAGAGGGATTCTGGATCCCTTTTCCTTCTCCTTTTTTACTTATACACACAATAATTAACACAGTACACACAAAACACTATCAGTACCTTGTACTGTCTTAAAATAAATTCCCAACTTAAAATAAAAGACCAGGATCCATGACAGAATTCTAGTAGACTTTAAAATAACTAAGCCAATGTTTCTCAAATATTACACAAAATAGTAAGGGCAGCTATGCCTCTAAACCCTTTTTATGAAACCAGCATTGTCCTGATCCCAAAGTCAGATGAAGAAGGGAAAAAAGGAAAATTATATACCTATCTTCTGGTGAACATAGATGTGAAATCTTTTATGAAGGAGCTGGAGGGGAAGGGTCAAGCAGTTATGTGGTGGACCCTTCAAGCTCTACTGCTGGTAGAGAAAAGAACTATGAGAGGCAAGAAAGAAAATTCAATTTAGCCAGACTTAGTCAGTACTGATTCAAAATTCTGGAGTCTGATACCAAGTCAATTTATTTTAAACATTTAAATCCAGTACAATTTGGGGGGAAAAAAGTCCCTGGCAACAATTATCCCAATTCATGTGCATGATAATGCTTACGATATGACCATATCAAAACTCTTTTGCAAAGTACATGTGACCTCTGCCATGAAGATGAGTTCTACACTACAGCTTAAGAGCCTTAGATCTGGTGTGGTCTCGGACCAAAATAGGCTATGAAGATGACGTCAGCAGGCTATGAAGATGATATGACTTTTCCCATGATGTCTCCCCTAAGGATGGGTTCTATTGACTGAGAAACAAAACTAAAGATAAAGGTCTATGGGAAGTCTGGGATGAACATTCTGGGGGATTTAGGTGAGGTCTGACTCTACAGACGGCAAAGATCATCTGGTCATTAACAACATCCACTCTCGGCCTTCTGGGTAGAAAACAGGTATTCATTTCCTTCACTGAGAAACAACCTTCCATGATTAACATTCTTGACTTCTCCAGGTCTTCTCTGTGAGTACCTGTGCCTTCTAAACAGTTAAACAAGCACAAAGTCTGATTCCCAGAATTCATGTCAGATAACTCACAACCACCCTTAACTCATCTCCAGGAAATCAAACACCCTCTCCTGCCCTCTATGAGGGCCTGCATTTATGTGTACATAACACACACACAATTAAAAATAAAATAATTTTTTGGTGTTTTTGAGACAGGATCTCTCTGTGTAGAACTGGTGGTCCTGGAGCTCACTATATAGAGACCAGGTTGGCCTCAAACTCACAGATCTTCCTGCCTGTAGGGCTCATTGGCAGATAAGACAGGAAAGGAAATCAGAGGAATGGACCCTGAGTTGTTTACAAAACCTGATTAGACATCAGAATCTCATGTGGGCGCATGGATGCTAGAGTAAATGCAGGCTATCTGAGCACATGATAGGGTGATCTTTAAAATGATTGGCTGGCTCCTTTTCCTCCACCACCACCGTGGCCCTGCAATTATTTACTTTAAAAGATGTTTACTGTGCAAAACTAAACAAGTTCCTGACTCCCCACTGTGTTTGACTGTCTCCAGGATTGAGGGAGGCTGGGAAACGGGTGAGCAACAAACACACTTAACCTTTCCTCGGACCCAGCTCATCCTCGTCTGGGTGGGAAGACCCCGCATCTGGAACCCAACGTGGGGTTCGAGGAATAACATTTCAGCTGAGGCTAAGTGGTCTATCAAGGTAAATGAAACCCTTAGTATGGGTAATTCCATTTCACCCAACGAAGAGCTGGTCTTAAAGGCTTTGCGGCTCATGCTTAAGTCCAGAGGTCTTGAATTATCCAATAGTAATGCTGTCAAGACCTGGGACACTATTGTTACCCTGGCCTCTGGGTCCCCAGCTCCAACCTTTTCTTAGTACCATCTGGGCCCAGGTGGAGAAGTTAGCCATAGAAAGGCAAAAACATTTTAGTATTGCGCCACCCCTGGGGTTCTATCACACCACCCTTAGAACATCCTTCCACCCAGATACAATACCGCTCCCCCTCAGGGGCCCACAGAGAGAAAGAGGATAGTTCAGAGCTCAGGAAAGACAAAAGAAAACACAAAAGACAAAGAGGAAAAGGAATGGACCAGATTCAACAGGGAGTGCATTAACCAAACCGAAGCGCACACTGGAGGTTAAGACAAAAGTAAAAGTTACTCCTCTTGATTCTTGCTCCCCAAAGGATCCTGGGCCCCCGCCTTATGAGCTTGGGACTGGGGAGGGGACATCGTCCTATGCGGCCTTGTGGACTTGTATGACCAAAACACCTATGACCAGCCTTCTACCCAAGGACAGGGATGGGAAAAATGACCTATGCAGAGAGAGGCTTATCTTGTTAAGGAGGGATCACAGGGGACTCAAATCTCAGGCCATGAACACTCCCCACCCCAATGCTTATCCAGTTAACTTGTCCCCTAGAATGGTACCCTTGGGAGCTCAAAAATCTCAAAGAGCTTGTTTAGTAAACATGGCTCTACTCTCTTGTTTGGGGAAACAGTGGCTGCATTCATCACATCTCAGCTTTCCTGTGAGCCAGAAGAAGGCTGGGGCAGATTCATAGGAAGCAGTGGTGACCTTATTTATTTATTTATTTTTTTGACGTATGATGCCTGACTGATATGGGAGTGTCATATATCAATCTGTTGATTTCATTGGTTAAGTAATAAACAAACTGCTTGAGCTCATAGCTTAGAAGATAGGTGGGAGGAGTAAACAGAACAGAACGCTGGGAGGAAGAGGAAGTGAGCTCAGACTCCACAGCTCTCCTCTCGGGAGCAGATACCTCAGAGAGATGCCATGCTCCGCTCTCCCGGGAAGACGCACACGATGAAGCAAGCCGCCAGGTTAGACATGCTGAACCTTTCCCGGTAAGACCGGTGCTCACAGATTATTAGAGATGGGTTGATCGGGATGTGAGAATTAGCCTGTAAGGGCTAGAGCTAAAGGGCCAAGCAGTGTTTAAATGAATACAGTTTGTGTGTTGTTATTTCGGAGCATAAGCTAGCCAGACTGCCGGGGTGCTGGGGAAGCAGCCCCGCCACTCATATTACTACACCTGACGGTTATCAACTTTCTTTTTTTTTTAAATTTATTTATTTATTAAGGATTTCTGCCTCCTCCCCGCCACCGACTCCCATTTCCCTACCTCTCCCCCAATCAACTCCCCCTCCCTCATCAGCTCGAAGAGCAATCAGGGATCCCTGACCTGTGGGAAGTCCAAGGACCGACCACCTCCATCCAGGTTTAGTAAGGTCAGCATCCAAACTGCCTAGGCTCCCCCAAAGCAAGTACGTGCAGTGGGATCAAAAACCCATTGCCATTGATCTTGAGTTCTCAGTAGTCCTCATTGTCCGCTATGTTCAGCACGTCCGGTTTTATCCCATGCTTTTTCAGACCCAGGCCAGCTGGCCTTGGTGAGTTCCCGATAGAACATCCCCATTGTCTCAGTGTGTGGGTGCACCCCTAGCGGTCCTGAGTTCCTTGCTCGTGCTCCCTCTCCTTCTGCTCCTGATTTGGACCTTGAGATTTCTGTCTGGTGCTCCAATGTGGGTCTCTGTCTCTGTCTCCTTTCATCGCCTGATGAAGGTTAATATTCAGGAGGATGCCTATATGTTTGTCTTTGGATTCACCTTCTTATTTAGCTTCTCTAGGATCGCGAATTATAAGCTCAATGTCCTTTATTTATGGCTAGAAAACAAATATGAGTGAGTACATCCCATTTTCCTCTTTTTGGATCTGGCTTACCTCACTCAAGATAGTATATTCTATTTCCATCCATTTGTACGTAAAATTCAAGAAGTCCTTGTTTTTTACTGCTGAGTAGTACTCTAATACATATATATTCCATACTTTCTTCATCCATTCTTCCATTGAAGGTTGTTTCCAGGTTCTGGCTATTACCCAAACAATGCTGCTATGAACATAGTTGAGCATATACTTTTGTTGTATGATAGGGCATCTCTTGGGTATATTCCCAAGAGTGGTATTGCTGGGTCCAGGGGTAGGTTGATCCCGAATTTCCTGAGAAACCACCACACAGCTTTCCAAAGTGGTTACACAAGTTTGCATTCCCACCAGCAATAGATGAGTGTACCCCTTACTCCACAACCTCTCCAGCAAAGGCTATCATTGGTGTTTTTGATTTTAACCATTCTGACAGGTGTAAGATGGTATCTTAAAGTTGTCTTG